TTCCATCCGCCCCTGCCTTGCTCGAATACGATGGCGGTGCCATCAAGGGTTATCTGTGGGCTGGCTGATAGAGACGCGTCCGGAATGAAAAAACGGTACGAGTCGTCCATCAAAGGCCTAAAGAATACGTCCGACGAGTCCTTTGCGAGGGCCTCTGTGTTTGAGGCCACGAAACCGGTCAAGACATCTAATATGACCTCGGAATCGGGCTCCTTGACGGTCGACAGTAGCTGCCTCATCACCGCGACGTCGGCGTCTGGAAGCAAAGGCGCGAGGACCTTCAGCACGACGTCGTTCGCAAGACGAGTGTGCAGCGGGCCGATAACGGCCTTCAGGAAGTAGACACGACGGGAGTTGAGTATGGCCTCGCGTGCGATGGCTTTCTCCTCATCAGTGCCTTCGGCGGGCTCAGGCTGTTCGAAGTAGATCTTGTGTGCTTCGGTGTCGTTGGAGAAGTATGGCAGCAGGACGTTGGTATACACCTCGGAGGTGTCACTTAGTGGTGTGCCGGGGAACACTATGATGACAAGGTTGGTATTAAAGGCGGAAAGGTTCGTCATGGGAAGCATTCTGCAAGGAAGGGGAGGGGGAAACTCACTCTCGATGAAGGCGTTGACCTGCTGTGCGGTCGCTGCGTCGAAAAGCTTGGTTGAAGTGGCGACAACGTCTGAGGACGAGGCCGTGGTTGTATCCACGGCGATGGTCGGCAACCCATCTTGACTGGCTTGAATACCAATGATGATATCCGACGCGGCGATGACGACTTGCTGAGTCGTCAGGCCAAGATTCCGGCCCTTTGCGATCAGGGCTTGGTCATTGCCAGTGAAGAAGAGCAGCTGCTCCAAGCTGAGACCAGCGTCTTGGGTGAAGTGCTGGAACTTGATGATGACGTCGAGAGCAGTCTGCGGCGTCGCAAAGGCGTCAGCGCTGGGGTCCAGTAGGGCTTTGAAGCCTTCAAAATAGGCCGGGTCGATGGATAGGACTTGACAGAAGACGGAGATGCGGTATATGGCAGTCACGTTGGCGAGATTCAGCCTGTCATCGGTGATGTTGGCGGCTGCCACAATCGCCGAGAAGCTATCCTCGGTAAGTCTGTAGGCCGCAAGCAGCGGCGCCCGGTTCGCATTCAGACTAAGATCAGCCTGAAGATAGTTGCCGTTGTCATCTGGGCCGAAGACGGGGTCTTTCCGTCCGGCTTTCCCCCTGAGAAACAGCCTCGCATAGAGCGACTTGTCTCCGTTGGTGTCCATCAGACCCCAGAGTGGCATCATCCTGAAGATGTCGACGCCCGTGAGGACCGATATGCGCTGGATAGCCGCCATGGCCGTGATGGTCTTCGAGTTGGCAGTGTAGCCATGCGTTCCGTCTCCAGTACCGAAAGAAAGCAGGGCACAGTCGAGATCTTGCAGTGTCCAGCCCGTCTTTCGCCAGAGGCGGATGGTCGACTGCAGGAGTTTGCAGTCCGCCTCTGTGATGGAGCTCTTTGGCCTGGCCTCGGTGGGATGACGCAGCCTGAGGTCCTCGATCTTACCAGAGAAGTCGGCCGAGCCGTCTGGATTCTCGAGCACAAGCTGTCGCTGGAGCAGTCGAGCCTTGAGGAGGTCCAGGAGCTGCTCCATGGTGATCTCGGCTCTGGGGATTAATTGGGCCTTGACGAACGGCAGACCTGTGTTGTCTGATTCGGAGAGCATGTCGCCGGCTGAGTCATAGCCCCAGTACTTGGATGTGGTTAGAAGGCCGATCTTCTTCTCATACCCTTGTTGGTCCATACTGCTATCGACAACGGCCCGGAGGAAGTCGAGCGAGAAGATGGAGGTGCCCGTGATCATTACGTGGTCTGCGGGAGAGAGCCCGAGATACTCGGCGGCAGCAGCATTCTCCAAGACGTCCTTGGCAAGCTTCAGCTGGTCTGCAGTTGGAGCTGGCGGATTTTGGCCGCCCGCTGCCGTCTGACACAGCCTGGACTCGGAGCCGAAGGCGCTTATCACGTCGGACAGAGACGTATTGACATTTGCGAAGAAGAGACGCTGGAGATCAAGGGCCTGGCTGTAAGGGAACACGGCGAGGGGGAAAGTCTGGGCCGCAATCTGATTGCTGTATATGCCGTAGTCCGTATGCTGCGGCTCGGACAGGCTGATCTCGCTGGTGTCCTGATCCGTCATGTTGTATCCTTGAATCGGCACTGCGGCTGGCGGTGTGAGCGAGCCCACGTTCTTGATGAAGGACTCCATGGCTTCGTTGGCGAGATCGATGTATGGAATCAGGACGTTTGTGTTGACGCAGGAGAGCTGCAGTGTGAGAAGATCCGGACGTCGGTCGACAAGTTTGTCGAGAAGGGTAGGTGAACTTGCTTGTGAAGCGTCACTGGGCGTGTTCTTCAGCATGCGGAGGAGATCAACGAAGTAAGCAGCCGGGCTGGTGATGGAGTTGCAGTCGTCGCAGGCGCCAAAGGCCATGTCACTGGCGAAGATTTCAGAGTAGCTGGTCACTTGCCTGCTCGGGGGCGCTGCATCCGCCGTCATGACGACTTCAGTCGACGACGCTTGATTGTACCTTTGGCCTCTGTTGTCGCTGTCGGTTGCAGACAACGCAGCGATCGGGACGTCGTTCCTGGACGCCAGGAGAGCTGTCCACACCTGCTCGTTGCGCATGTCAACGAGCGTAGCGTGTTCGTGGATGAAGACGGCGCGCTCAGCAGGGAGGCCGTGTTGACTCATGACCGAGATGAAAGAGCTCCTTGGCGTGTGTGCGATCTGGTGAGCGGACGCGAAGGGAGACTGGAGGAGCGCCTCGAGGTCTGTAGGCAGGCGCACCAGGGCCTGCAGCCGCGAGAGCTTTTGTAAAAAGGTCTTGACCGCCTTGTCATTGTCGTTGTTTGCTAACTTGGCCTTGTAGAACAGATTCTCAACGGCATCTTTGCTTATATCAAACCCGTCTGAGACGGCCTTGTCGAGTATACTGAGCACGGTTGACTTGGTGTCCTTTGGTGTTACGGCAACTTGTCCATCGGATATCAAACTGTAGATGGTAGCCGTAGGCTCCTCGGCAAACAGCCTCATCTGAAACGCTTGAACGGCAGGTCCATCATCTTGTTCGGTGAGAATAGTGTAGTTCCGTGCAGCATCCGACATGGACCGCACATCCTCCCGATCCCAGAAGAGGCTCGCCAGCTTGACGTTACCCTGCGAAGCTTTGTCCAGCGCCGCGATTAAGGCGAGTCGGGCTTGTGACTGGGGCGAAATGCCGGAGTTGATACCGACGGTGTCAATGGCCTCTGAAAGGCTTCTGGTGTTTTCGAGGGACGCGAGGAGCATGCTCTCGTCGTCTGCCAAGCCTTCGAGAAGCTGCTTAGCCTGCTCGAGCTCACCGTCGTGAAGCCTGGTATGCGCCATGATGATGGGGGGCAAAGTAGGCTTGGTCTAGAAGTAGGGTTGGTTGATGAAAAGATTCATACGAATCCTTTTGTTCAATCGATTTTCAAGGAAATGCCAAGCAACCCTCTTATGAATCTTCTCTGGTCAACGGATTGAAAACACTCATGTAATTGATGAAAAAAAAGGGGATCAGCGTAGAAACCTCCGCTGGCCTCGGAGATGCAGGTGGATTGAAAAGAGCGATTGATACAAAAACGGTCAACGGTCAGCTTACCGTTTACAAATATTTGCCACTCGCGTACACGCGGCACTCCTTTGCTCAAGTCTCGGGAATATTGAGGCATACACGCCAGACCACCGAGATATAGCCGGCTCTGCGTCGATATTCAAGCACAATCGATGTAGGGAGAGGTCGCTATGACGAAGCTCCATCTGGTCGGTGTGTGTCCAGCCAGACACGTAGCAAAGACCAGGGATCCATGAGGACATGTGTGCGACGTACTGCGCAGCTCTATCTGAGACATTCCCATCCAACCTCCAAGTGATGAATCAGTAACGGGCTCCCAAAACCACGACGGGTACAGATCCGACAATAACCTACTCTATACTCCGGGTTGATGTCATCTAAATGTTGAGGACGAAGCTGAACGCCTGCAGCGAGCACCACGCTGCGCATTTGGCGAGCTTCAACAACCTGGAATGATTCGTCGGTCCGAAGGGACGATATTGCCCTGGTGATTGATTCAATGCTAGGACAAGGGTTGTCTCAGCCGTGTCGCACCACGACCGTCATTCGCAGCCGAGCATGTCACGGAACACTGACGCTTTGGAATCACGGCCCGCAGCGTGTCTCACGAAGCGGCTCCTACCGAGGAATATGCACCAGTTGACGTATTGGGATTTCATAGCACACCGTAGTTTTTACGGAACTCACGAACAATGAGCGGAAGTCGAGGACGATGGACAGCTGAGCGTGCCGATGGCTGGCTGAACATGTCGTGAATCTGCGAGGGTGAACCATTTTGTCTGCCCCAGAGTGCCCCTACTTATGTATTTCCACCTTTAACTTGCCTGCGTACTTTTATCCCATTACAAAGAAATTAACTGGATTGGCATAGAGCTGCCCGTTATTAGATCTTATTGGCCATCATACCGGCAAGAGAATTCCTATGCATGCACCTCGGCACATCGAAAGGACTGGCCGCATTGCCTCCCGCCGAGGGGGAGTAGGTATGATTGACAACAAGCCCACAGCGCGTACGCGTTTCACGATTCGGTCGACGCTGCATGTCGATCAGTCGCCTCCGCCAAACTACGCGGACGTGAGGAGAGGGGGGAATGCGTAATGCATTGTCATATAATGTCCGATTTGCATCACTGCATAAAGCTCAGCTTCGATGATACCTCGAGCTGAGCTCGAAAAAAGTGAGACAGATAAGAGGGTTACAATGGACGAAAAATTTCTGGACTGTACAGTTGTGTGGACAGAGCATCGCGCGGGGATACGGCATCCATGACTCAAAAGCTTGAGAGTCCCTCGACACCAGCCGGCTCTTGTTTTCTAAAACCATCAAAGTGAATACGCATTTTTTTTTACCTCATCTCTCGACATCTCAAGTCGACATCATGGTTGACTCAGACACCAAGCTACGCTTGAAGACCTCCTGTGCCACTGCACATGGTTATTACGACCAAATTGTTGCCGTCTCGCAAAAGATTATCAATGAATCCTTTGATAAGCTCTATGACGTCTATCCCGAGTATGGCGTAGTTGACTTCTCTAGCAAGAAGATTGGAAAGATAAAGGGGAACCTTCTGTCTCCCCGTCTCCTGCTTGGTGGCGGGCTAGGCTCTGATATCTCCCTGACATCTGCCCTTTATGTCATGCGGTACATGGCCATTTCTTATAGCACTTATCTACAAATACATGAAGTGCGATATTGACGTTCTCCTAGCTTCAAGGATGGAGAGATCTCTATCCCGGCGGATGATGATGACGATCCGGATCAGGTCGAGGATCTCACGGGCTGGAACCTGGCCGTAACGATCGACTTGAAGGAGCAAAGCGTCTATGTAGATCCCGATGCAGATCCTGACACGCAGGCAGACCAACAGGCTTTGTGGGACTTCATTCACAACAAGTTTGACGTGCCTGGAGACTACAGCATTGCCAGGCTTTACGCAAAGCTCGCGGGTAGGCGCCTGCTTGCCCTCCCCTTCATAAGCATGTAATATTTGTCCTAACAAAGACGCATGATGCAAGATGCTCACTGGAGCAACTTTGACTATGACAACTCGCAGTTTGGCTATAACCCAGACGGCAGTCCCAGATCTTGGGCTCAGCTGAAGAAGCAGTTTGAGGGCATCGACATCAGTCTGCCGTTCATGCTCAGGAAATGGGCCGAGACTCAGGAGAAGAAGGGCTTGACCACCACCGGTGTCCAGTTCAACCTGCCGCCTCCAGACGAAAGTAAGTACCTCACGCCTATCGATGGGTATCTCTACATGTCATATGATTGACCGCCGAGCTCTACTATCTGGTGTCTAGTCGACCCCAACAAGCCGACCTTCCAGCCAACCGCATTGGTACACCAGGTCTATGGTTACCAGAACCCGGAAAAGGGCGTGCCCAAACCTGTCATCTCCTACGACCCCCCGGGCGACCTCAACTCATTCTTGTACTGCGAGATGGTTTCCAACCACGAGCTGCCCACCGACAAGCAGCTCGCGGGCAGCGGGAATTTCACCGCGCAGGCCACCGAGATTGGGGGGCCACGAATCGATGGCACGTACGCTCTAAGCCACCAGCTTTTCCTGGAAACCTTCCTGCTGCCCATGCTCCAGGCCTTCAATAAGTCGTCCATCATCTTCCCTACGACACCCGGTTTCACGACCGAAGGCGGCAACAGCAAGATCTACTGGAACTACGCCATCGGCAACGACGGCAAGCACCAGGACTTCAAGGACGAATACTACAAGTTTCAGCCCGTCTACGAACTGGCGACCCCTGCTGACCCGACTTGCTACCGGTTCAAGGCGGATTATAGCACCCAGCTCGTCCCCACCGGCCATAATACCACCAGCGGTACGTACGGGAGTTTCGACTCTACCGCCACGACGCAAGTCGACTTCAAGTGGAACCCTGGCGATGCGGGCTTTAGCTTAGCCGGAACAACCGTGTACAAGTATGATGTGGAGTGGTCTGAGAACTGGGATATGAGGCGACCCTTTGGCTGGCTGAGGTACGTTGTGCACCTCACATCTTCTTCGTGTTTGTCCAGAGGGCCAAGCGGGGGATGAATGATTCGCTCGCTCACCTTGCTTTGTTTTAGGGAGACATTCCAATCCACTTGGAGTATGAAGATCAACATCGACAGCGTCAAAGACGGCATTCTGCAGCTGGGCGTCGACGCCGGCGCCTCTGAGGACTGCAACTCTACTGTCCGTCAAACTCAGGCCGAGCAGCAGCAGAGCTGGTCTCCTCCCGGCCAGGCAGATAGAATCAGGTCGAGTATCGTCGAGCAGATTGGAAGCCATGTGAAGACGCTCAAGAGTAATTTGTCCGAAAAATTCCAGACGAGCGCCAAGTTTGTCTACCCGGGCAACGGCACTTTCGACTTCTCCGACCCGCAGGTTGGCAACACGGGAGAGATTCTGGCAACTCTTGAGTACAAGCCGTGAGTTTCCTTTTTATATATATATATTTATTGTTGAAGAAGACCAAGGCCGCAGAGTACAGAAATCGAGGAGCTAACGAGCTATTTCTCAGCATCGATCGAAAGGCCAAGATCTCTGTTCCTCCGCCGGCCACCGCTAAGATGACTCCCATGAAGTTTTTTGGCTTTAACCCTAAGCAAGTCGACGCCCCCGGTGTTGCCCCAACCTCCAAACTAAACTGGTCCTACAGCAAGCCAATCAAGGGAGTTCAGAAGGCCGCAGAAGTGCTCATCCAGGGCACTAACAAGGGTGAAGATACCGTCAAACTCAAGGGTCTTAGTGTCCTCTTGGACTCTGAGCCAAAGGGACGTGCTCCGATCACTGGTCTGGACTTCTCCGTGCAGAGGTGGAAGATAGGCTCGCCAGACGAGACGGGCAAGGTGGACGTCTACCAGATCGTCTCTGACAATGACGGTACTCCGGCCTTTGAAAGCGTAAATTTCGCAAAGGGCGAAAAGGTCGGCGATGCGACGCCATTGACTTTCTATGGCACCGGAGAGGTGTCCGTTGAGCCTGGAGCTACCCTCACGCTGGCGCTCTACACCGGCACTGGCGTCCCTAATACTTACGACGTCATCGTCACTGAGACCTGGCCACCTGTTGATGGGCAAGCATCACAGTCTCTTGCGCAGACGGTAAAGATCATTTTGTCGCCATGAAGAAGACAACGGATGGAGACGGAAGTATCAAGTAGTCGCTCCTTTTCGAAGCAACATGTTTCTACACTTTTGCTTGAATTTGATCGTATATTAACCTTGACCCGAGCTTTGATTGAGAATGAATAATCTTTCGGAATGATGAGTACTTTGCGGTCCATGCTTCCGGCTCGCTCATGGGAGAGCCATTATCAGCGCGGAAGTTCTGTTTGGCACGGGTTTAACAAGTCTGAATTCGAGTACAGGCAAGAAGAATCACTTTTTCGGGCAATCAGTTTTCTGTCCAAGAGTGAACAATTAAATTCCTTGCTTCTTCGCCATTATGGGCTGCGCGAGGCCACTACCCGCAACCAGGCCCGACGTGGATATTCAAACAATTGCAAGACTAACGCTCAATCAATGCATTCAAATTGATTTTTATGAACGTGAATATCATGAGTCAATCCTCAGAGCCACGCAACCATGGCCGAATCTTCTGTTGGCCGGCACGTTAGTAACCCACCCTTCTCACTAAAAGTAATAGGTACTGCGGAAAGTGAAAGGAATTATCACCGTAACGATACTATAATGTACATAAGAAACTGTGGGTTCTCTCAACGAAATCACTCATGTCGAGAGGCGTGATACGCTACTATCGAGAGACAATAGAAATTGCTGTGCCACGCGTTGAAAGGGTGCTACATTCTAAAGCATGGAACTTTTATATAGTTTTCATATTTTCATGTAGAAAATCAAGCGCCTACAGAACCAGCATATCCCGCTGTATTCCGCCTATAAACTTACCTTTCTCTTCCTCATCATGACTTTAGCATGCGGATCTAGGATGACGTTTTCATCAGCATAGACGCTTCGGGGGCGTCTCTTGCCCTGCGGAAACTCAAAGTCAAATTCTTGAAGCAGCCGCATAAGCACCAGCTTGATCTCGTAAACTGCAAAGTATCGACCTGGACAAACTTGGTTCCCGTAGCCGAAGGACATGTTGTCTGGGTCTGACTGGCCTGCCATGAATTTGTGGACGTTCTCACCCCCGTTAGCATGCCGCTTATGGTAGCTTCGCATTGGATTGAACATTTCGGGATCCGGAGTGGTGACGGGGTCAAAGGCATGTTGAGGACCAGCCCACGCAATGCGTGTGCCTTTTGGAATATGCGTTCCGTCCTTCAAGGTCAAAGGTACCAGTGCTATCCTCTGCGGTGTCACTTGGAGCGGATATTAGCACACGATGTCCCGTCTGCTGTATTTCCTGGAAAGCGGGCGGCCCTTGAAACTTACGTAAAATGGGCGGGTTGAGCCTTTGGCTTTCAACAATCAAGCTGTCCATCTTCTCCAGATGCTGGAGCCATGACTTGACCGGTATGTCCTCCCCGAGCCGACCATAGGTCTCGAGTGTATCGTCGATCTCGTCTCTCAGCACGGAAACCCACTCGGGATAAGCCATGAGGTCAAACAGCACGTTTGCCGCCGTCGTAGCCGTCGTGTGTATGCTTGCGAGAGTCAAGATACACTGTCGCGCAGCCATTTCCTCCAACGAGCCTTCATTGCCCACCGCGTGATCTACCATCCACTCAAATAGCGTTCCCTCGCCCAAGCCCCCGCCGACCTTGGCCTCTTCCTCGCGCTGAAGCATGTACTGGCGGACGACCTCGGTGCCAATTTCGATCTGCTTCTGTACCCGCCACCGCGCCGGAATCAGGGGCTTGACCAGAAAGTGCATCCACGGCGGGAACATGCGCAATGCGAAGCCCGCGAAGAAAAGATCCATGGAGAAATTCAGCGTCAGGTCCAGCCATTTGGGATCCCGGCACGTGAGGTCTCCCATGAAAACCTTGGCAGACATGCGGGCAACAAGCATCCGCATCGTGTCTTGGATGTCGACTTCGGTCCACTCAACGGGCTTGGGTACGTCTACCTGCCAGCCGTATTCGAGTTCCTCGTGTGCCAAGTCGGCGTATTTGGATACCTCGGGGTTCAACTTTCTGGTCAAGACGGCGACGTGGAGGTCGGAATCGCGAATCACGGAAGCCCATGGCCAACTTCGGAACAGGTTCTGCCACTGGGTCAGCAGGCGTCAGACACCGAGAGCGGGTGAAACTCGCGTTGTAATGAACCATCTTGCCACTGAGATCGTTTCTTGCGACCAAACGCAGCTCGTCCAAATACTTCATTGGCAAGACGTGGATGTCCGTATCGTGTCGAGTCACCACAAAAGGAACATCCTTGAACTGCCACGGTGTAACTCGAATAAGCACACAGCAGAGAAGTCATGCGTCCCTTTGGAACATATACCTTGGCGTATCCACTACTAATGATGTCGTACGCATCGTAGATGAATCGAGTTTTGAGCAAGAACGAAGGCTCCCACCAGCCCCGATATCCGTGTACTTGGGCACCTGGGATCCTAGGTCTTCTAGGTTTGAGGAACGAAAGAGCCCAAAACCAAGCCAGCACGATGACAGCCAGCTTGACGTATCGAGACGACGATAGGGAGTCATAAATTTCAATGTCAAGCTGCTGCAGAAGCCCCCATTTCGCCCCCGACGGGCCGGGCAAATGGGTGCTGATGCCAGCCATGGCTAATGTAGTCCCCTGCGTCTCTCACGTTGCTTGGTCTCGATATAAAGGAGTAGAAGTAGTCAGAGATGATGGTGTCCATGCGCGATGACCCGGGGTGGTCAGATACTAGCTTCGCCAAGTCGCAAAGTTTTGCACTTGCGAAGTGAAATCCGCAAGATACCTCATGCAGGGGCTGTCGTGACCATGTTCTTGAGGATAAGGCGGCCTCCGGGATATTCCAAAAGGAGGTGCCCGAACGCCGACGTGCAAACGTTGGCCAATCAGAAGCAACTCCGGCCGAGAGTTTGCCAAAAAGGCCATGCGTCCGAGGACCTAAAAATAGAATTTTGCTTATTTGTGCGGCCAAAATCAGCCGCCATATTCCTCATATGGCATGATTCTAGTGCAGACAACAACTCTATTTATGCATCGGCAAAAAAAAGCAAGGCTACATTCAGCCCGCTTATTTTGGCTGTAAGCTCAGGACATGGCAGAAAGCCATATTACGATCCTTCGTGGTAGATGATATAATGCATCGTGTTGCTACGTCCATGTAACTAGTGTAAAGGTGCCAGATCTTGTCCTCCAACTACGAGAGTTTCGGAAATGCGACCCTCTGTAGTTGTTGTAGCAAAGGCTATAGCTGTATCCTCGTTGTCTGTCCAGCAAAACAGTCACAGCGGCATACAAGATGTTGCGGAATTCGTATCGCGTCTGGACAGAAATCCAACATCTCAAGCCGAAATTCACACCATTCTCAATTCTTCCCATCCCAGCATCAATGACGCGCGGCGTCATTTGACCAGCAGTGCAGTCCTGGCATGCCGGATCGGTAGGGTTGTGTTTGGTACCAGCCTCCATACATCGTGTTCCCCCGAGTATAAAGATCTCGTCAATGAAAACTGGTTTGTTGCCCCTTTCCACCCTGTCAAACTGTGCTGTTTGAGTAGGGATTGACGACTCTCGCGGCACTACGGCAGGTCCATGACTTGTTGGAAGAAGCCAAAATGCATCCTGCAGCCCACATCTGCGATTGATGTATCAAAGGCGATGCTTATTTTGACCTTTCTTGGAGGCCAGTTCTCGGTCCGCAGCGGCGGCCACAACCCGAACATTGGCTTCTCCAGCATTGGACAGGAGGGCATGCTTATCGACTTGGCTCGATTGAACGATGTGGCCCTCAGCCCAGACGGCACACTGGCTTCCATCGGACCCGGAAATCGGTGGGGTAGAGTGTACAAGACCCTTAGCTCGAGCGGCAAGATGGCCGTTGGAGGTCGTGCGAATGATATCGGTGTCGGTGGTTTACTTCTGGGCGGCGGTCTAAGCTATTGGTCGAGCATCTACGGAATGGCCTTCACCAAGATCGTCAACTATGAGGCATGTTGGTCGCGAGCCCTTGCACCACCTTGTATCGTCCCTAATGTGACTTGGTACAGGTCGTCCTTGCAGATTCATCCATTGTGAATGCGAACGAGACGGCCAACAAGGACTTGTGGTGGGCGTTGAGGGGCGGCGGCGCCAATTTTGGTACGTCATTGCCCTCAATCGTAGAGGCTGTCTAACGCGACCACAGGTATCGTGACGAGGTTCGATGTTCAAACCGTTGAGAACGGCCAAATCTGGTTCGAGGGTTTGTTTTTCAAGGTCTCTCAGCACGAGAGGCTTCTAACGGTAGCTGCCGACTTTGCTGCCGCAGCCGAGGACGACCCCAATGTTTCGATTACCTACAACCTCGGACCAGCCGGGGCTGCGGTATATCTTGCCTACAACAGTCCGATCAACCGCCCAAAGATATATGCGCCATTTTACGACATTCCCCATCAAAATATAATTAAATCGACCCTAGGAACATGGGTAGACTTCCACAACGCCGTGTCTGACTTGAATCCCTTTAGCTCACTCAGGTGAATGGTCCCATAAAATGGCTGCAGTCTATGTCTCGGCTTGTTGGTTGTCTGACTCATACGACTCAGGATAGCAATAACGACTTATGATCGAAAATGGGACCAAAAAACGTTACTAGACCATTATGAACGCTTCCAAAAAGTCTCGCTGGACGTCCAAAACCGCCTCAACGCAAGCTTGTATTTTGCCCCTCAGATATTCAGCAGATCTGCCGTGGCAGCGACGTCGGCGCAAGGGGGAAGCCCCCTCATGCTTTCGCAAGACACCCATTGCTGTATGTGCATGTCTCACATCCGTTTCAAAGTAGTGGTTCTTTCCATACGCTGACATGTACTCGCCAGTTCTCGAGATCATGGCGACGTGGACGAACCCCGACTATGACGAAGAAGCAACCCAAGCTCTGATGCGCCTGGGGGATGAAATCACTGCGTCGGGACAGCGACTTGGTACCGATCTCAACTTTCACTTCATGAACGACGCCGGGCTCCATCAGGACGTGCTGGGATCTTACGGTACCCTAGACAAGATGAGATCCGTCAGCCAAGCTTACGATCCCTACCAGGTTTTTCAGCACTTACAGGGCGGCGGGTTCCTGTTGAACAGAGCACCATAATTTTAACGACATGACGCAAGACTGGGTGTGAAGGGTGGATGTGGAAAACTTGAGCGTGGGCATGGGGTACAGGGGAGTACCTTCTCTTGCGCCGTGTCACGTTTCCCTCAGCCCGTATGCGCGAATACCGAAACCTTGACATGGAGATTTTCCAAACTTGTATCAATTTTTTCCACCATTCATTGGATTTCATGATGTTCCAAACCATCATGCTTAGTGAAAGAGGAGAAAGGAATGAGTAGAAACCGACACTGCAGGAGTTTGGCGGTCAACCCGTAGTTCTTGCAGAGAAAAGAGATATCTTAGACATCTTCGTGCTCCAATAGCGAACAATATACGAAATTATTGTTCCGCGTCCTAAATAGAAATCCGAGAGAACATGCAATGGAATGTAATTCCAGTCTCCTATGCCGGGGAGCCACATTTCGGGGAATTGCCTGATACGGAAGTCTAGTGCCGGGATAAGCAAAAGAGGGCGCCGAATCATGATGTAATCCGACCCGCATAACAATCTCACTAGCCTAAATATAGTCCAAGTGGTGTGAGTCCAGATTCGGAAGCTATATCTGTTGATTTCGCCGTTACCAACACAAGTTATCCTCTATCGGCGGCATCTCAACCTCGCAACATTAACGCCACTAATCGGCGAATGGAAGCTTGCTAGCAGTGAGCCCGTATCCTGCATGAAAGATGAGTGTCGACGCAAGCCAACTGGCCCTCGAGGAGCTCCGGAAGATATTTCCAGGGCAAGTGATTGGCCCCGATGACGTTGGATATGACGAAGAAGTTTGCAGTAGCTGGTAAGTCAGGCCTCACTCGTGGTCAGTTCCTCCAGTGATTCCTACTGGGATCACAAGTTTCTGCGCTTAACCCTTCAATTGGTGGCTTTGGCGGGTAGCAGTTGTCTTATTTTGCGCCTGTTTCATTCTATATTCAATACCTATTCGACTATATCTCTTCGTTTCGACTGCCACAAGTGCGAGACAGGTAGTTTGCTCATAATTTTGTTCAAGGATATTGATTCTAGTCTCAACAGGTCTGTGACCAGCAGGACTCCAGCTGCAGCCTATATACGCCTTCATAGTGCTGAGGAAGTCGCCAAGGCCCTGCTAATTGTCAAGGGCTCAGGCTCTAAGTTTGCCATTCGATCAGCAGGCCACAATGCGAACCCTGGCTTCAGTAGCGTCAGCACTGCAGGGTCGGGTATTGTGCTTGACTTGCGTGGACTGAAATCTAAGTCTCTGGACAATAAAACCAACGTCGCACATATGGGAGCGGGGAATAACTGGTCCGACGCGTTCACCTGGCTCGAAGCGCAGAATTTGTCAGTGATAGGCTCTCGGGAAGGCAGAGTTGGCCTTTCCGGGTTCCTCCTTGGTGGTAGGGCTGACTTTTGTCCTATTCATCCGTGGCATTCGGTTGGCCAAGTCCTAACTTGCTCAGGTGGTCAGGGGATTTTCTCCAGCTCTTTTGGGTTGGGCGTAGACGGCGTCAAGAACTTTGAGGTAAGTGGGAAAGACAGACCCGGAAATTTTCAATCTTGACAGTCAAGCTTTTGGGGATATTAGATCGCCCTTGCGAATGGCACAATTGTCAACGCAAATGCAGAAGAAAATTCGGATTTATACCTCGCGCTCAAGGGCGGCGGCTCCAACTTTGGTTTGACTTCCGCCTCCTCCGCACTCAGCACAGGCTGACAGATCCCAGGTATTGTCACCGCCGTAAGCCTCCAAACGCATCCTCTCATCCGGGTTCAGTACACTATACACATGTACGACCCGTCTGACTACCAGAACGTGCTCAATGCGTTTGCCAAGGTCCAAGAGTCAATGGAACAGGATCCCAAGATCGGCATGTTTATTAATACCCGGCGAGACTTCATCGCCGTTGGTATGTTCTACGCTGCTTGGTCGGCCGAAATTCCAGCTGCTTTTGATCCCATCGTCAAACTGACCAGTTTCATCGGCGCGGCCGTGCCTACGGCAAATGGCACCTTCTCTACTCTGAACGAGATTCTAGAGGAATGGGCTTATAAGGAGCAGGACTTGAAGTAGGTCAAAAGTCCCTTCCTGGCTTTATTTAGCGTCTTTTGTGTATTGACGATGATGTAGACATGCTTATCTCACTATGACGACCAAAATCTCACCCAAACTGTACCAAGAGGTCCATCAACTCTGGAGGAACATAGTTGACCAGCTTTCTCTTACTGCTGATTTGCATTGGTCTATCCAGCCCCTGACTCAAGCAGCCGTCATGGCCGGGAGGAACCGCGGCGGCAATATCTTAGGTCTAGAAAACGTTTCGCAATCCTGTAAGCTCATAGCTCTCGATACTAACGATAATGAGAGAAATCTAACAAGCTCTGGCTTTCCAGGTTTGATCTTTGCTTGTGATTGGAAGCAGGACCACGACGACGAGGCCGTGCGAAGCGCCCTTGCTGCGGCTTTGGAGCGATCCAAGAAGCTTGCCGTCGAGGGGGAACTCCTGTTGGACCTTCTGCTTCCCACGTTTGCGGGCACGTCTCAGAATGTGCTCGCCGGCTTTGGTGCAGAGAACGTCAAGAAAATACAGGATGCCGCGCGCCGGTATGACCCTGAAGGCGTCTTTCAAAAGCTGCAGAATGGGGGTTTCTTGCTACGAGACATATGAACAACCCTGGCAATGCCGCGTGAACCTAAGGCTTACTTATTCCTGATGTTGTCGGGAGGCTTCCGGGAGGGGTGTATATTTGGCGCACGAGTCGTTCCCACAAAGGACGACTAAATATGATGCACGTTGAGGATGTCACCACGTGGAATCTTACAGTGACGAGCGTAAAGCACTCCTCATTCACTAGACATTACTTTAGACTATTGAAGCATTTCCCAGATGCCCTCCAGTGCCGCAACTACATCTTCCGGAAGCGGGCCTTTCCTAATTGCTGCCACGTTCTGCTTTACCTGAGCAAGCTTGCTTGAGCCGAAAATGATGCCATCTTGAGGCTGCAATTTGGAATGAAAGGCGAGCCAGCGCAGCGCTACTTCTGTTTTTGGGATGCCGTGCGGCTCCAGCATCTTGTCCAGCGAGCGGATAGCCTCGTGATATTTGACCTTGTCGTAGCGTCGAGCGTCCGTCGACATGATATTGCCCTCGGCGAAGCGCGTTCCTTCGGTTTGGCCCGACGTGAGGCCACCGTGTAGGAAGCCGCTAGCATGCGGGCTGTGTGCCACAAACTGCATGCCATGCTTGCGGACGAGATCGAGCACCGGGCCCTCGTGTTGACGATCGATGAGGTTATACAAACCTTGGTATGCGGTCGGCTTCACAAAGCCCTCGCGCTCGCATATATCGATGAACTCGGCAAGCATGTCGGCTGGAAAGTTGCACACTCCTAGCTTCAACGGGAGTCAGAACCGAGCTGATTTGTTTTCAGCGCCTTCTCTGTCAGTATCATAAAGGCTTACTTTGTCAAACAGACCCGCTTTGTATTGAGCATCAAAGCCAGCTGCCTGGTCTTTCAAGGACGTAGCTACATCCGGCGCATGGGGGTAGAAGACATTGACGCGCTGGCCGTCTCCGAGGCGGAGCGCCTCACGGCTCTCTGCAGCAGACTTGGCGATCTTCTCAGGCTGCAGCGTGCCCTGGAAGCCAGTCATGCTGATCATCACCTTGGTGTCAATAGTGAACCCCATTCTCGCTGCTCCAACTTGTCCAAGGAGACGCTGCGAGGCGCCTATGTCTGTGGGCGGATATAACGCCGCCGTGTCCAGCCTGTGAACACCCGCCTCCTTGAGCGTTTGCAGGAGCTCTTCCACTGCCTTCTCCCCAACGAATTCATTTCCGAGGCCACCACAGCCGAATATCATCTCTGGAGCTCCGGGGAAGGCCATTGTTGTCACGTAACTGGAGTGCTGATGCGGTGAAGCGAGGTTACGAGGGGTAGGATCCGCGTCTGGGTTTTGGCAGAGCAACAAAAAGCCAGACGGACCGAGCCGAGGTGGTTGATCAAAAAAATTTTCGTGCAGAGTGCGGGGGTAACTATACACAGACCAGCAAGAGCTGAAACAACAACATGCATGTACGTAACAAAGGTCATAGCAGGCTCAGGGTTGTATGGCCCGAGCCGTAGCTGCCATGCAGGGTGCTCCGTGTTGAGGAACGGCGCCTTCCTTATTAGGATAGCCGAGTGCAACGATATGCCGGCCAAATACAGGTTCGTATGTTGGTATTTCTTGATGCCGAGAGGTTTGCTTTCAAGCGGATGCCGTTTCGGAACAAGTTGCCACAAACGGACAGGCCGTGAGCAAACAGGGCTCTGGAGCTTCAACACTCAAGAACTTCGACATGTATCCGTTGAAAGCTGCCCATTCAAGAACTCGCGATGGTCCTGTCGAAGAAGAAAGCCGAGCTGTGACCTATAATATCGGCGATATGACCTTGCAGCATGATCAACTGGCGGCGGATGCAATCGCGCTCATCCAGCGAGCGTGGGCGGGATACGACGAAACATGGGGGACAGGCTCCATGAGTTGCGCCGTCTATGACACAGCCTGGATATCAATGGTAGCGAAAGAGCGAGCTGGGGAGAAGATATGGCTGTTTCCCCAATCTTTCGACTATCTGCTGAGTATGCAGTCTAATGATGGTAGCTGGGGAGCGACGACTTCGGCATCACAAATCGACGGCATCTTAAATACCGCAGCCTCACTACTCTCTCTTCAGAGACACTGCTGCGAGCCACTCAATACAACCAGTCATGTAATCGCAGGTATCCAAGGGCGGATACATCGAGCCACGTTGTCACTGGCTTCTCAGCTCAATAGTTGGGATGTTGCTGCAACAACGCACGTTGGCTTTGAGCTGATTGTGCCGGAGCTGTTGGAATTATTGACGATGCAAGATCCCTCTATTGCCTTTGACTTCTCAGGTGAAAAGCTCCTCAAGGAGATTCACCGCGCCAAAATGTCAGCCTTCGTACCGGACTCTCTGTACGGCTGCAAGCCTTCAACGGCGCTCCATTCGCTCGAGGCATTCAGAGGCAAACTAGACTTTGACAAGATCGCTCACCACAAGGTCGGCGGCTCCATGATGGCATCACCCTCCTCCACGGCGGCTTATCTCATGTACACGACAGAATGGGACAATGAGGCAGAAGCTTACTTGTGCAACGTTGTCCAAGCCGGCATGGGAAGGGGCAGCGGAGCTGTGCCGAGTGCCTTTCCTTCCATGTTCTTTGAGTACACTTGGGTCTGTTTGACGTGAACTTGGCTTTAGACTTGACCGACTAATAGGTTGACTAGATTTTGTCAACCCTTTTCCGCGCCGGGTTTTCTTGTGCGGAAACGCACTGCGCCGAATTGGATGCCATGACTGGGTTGCTTCGAGACGCATTCCAAGATGGGAAGGGTACCATTGGCTTTGGTAAGACGCACAATTCTAATGCTTAATTAGATATGACCTAAATGTTTCCTCGTCTCAGCTCCTGGATTGCCCGTCGATGTTGATGACACGGCCAAGTACATCACCTGTCTGAGCAGGCTGGGAAGAGAACAAGAGGCATGCCCGGATGCGATGATTGGCACCTTCGAAGCAGACACACATTTCCGCACATACTTGTCGGAAAGAGATCCAAGCTTTACCGCAAACTGTAATGTTCTCTCAGCACTTCTTGAGCAGCCAGATGTTTCACAGTACTCGTCTCAAATCTTCAAGGTTGTCAACTTTTTATGTGATCGCTGGTGGGAGAGCGATAAAGGCATAAAGGACAAGTGGGTAAGGTTTCTTGCTGCACCGATAACCGTCACTTTTGCGACCAGTCTGTTGCTAAGAGTCTAGCACTATAGAATTTGAGCTGTTTGTATCCATCACTGCTCGTGGTTCAGGCATTTGTGGATCTTCTTGTACAGCTTCAGCGAGGTAATCTGAAGCCGTTGAGACGAGATGTGCAGTCGAGAGTTCACATCACTCTGTTCCAAGCCTGTCTAAGGGCGTTGCTGTGCGATTCCGACTCCACTTCGGTCGAGCAAGCGGCCTACCGTGTTCTCATTCTCTGTGAGGCACGTAGACTCTCCTTTTTCGACACTATTAGACCTCGGATCGATGAGTATATAAAAGATCAAGCAAGCCTTCTTAATACAACACCAAACTCGGAGCTCGAGTCAGAAGCAAATCGGGTATGGATTGAGAAGGTCAGCTTCGGCTCTCCCCTCATCACGCAGGGCTACAGGCTCGCGGCACTCAAGGCAGCCTCGCTTCCGGTAGGCATGATAGGGTTGGAATCTAACCATCATTCCATGCCCAGCCTCGAAGGCGGCGGAAAGTACGTGAAGCTACTCAAGAGAACGCCGCTCTTCGCCCGCACACCAGAGTGGAAGATTGAAGTATCAGCGTTAGAGGCTTCGCTGTTCCAACCCCTACTGAGGCGTCGACGTCTGGACGTTTTCCCCAGAACGAACATGGCGCCGGACAAATATTTTGATATAATCCCTCTGACCTGGACGAGCTGTAATAATCGGACTGGGATATTTGCGTCAACGCGTTTTATTTACGAAATGATGGTCATTTCTTTTCTTGACTTCCAAGCCGATGAGTTTATGGAGGCCGTGGCGGGACGGTCGTTCCATGGGGACACCGGCGCCCTTCGCCAGTTAATCGACGACGTCTTCATGGCAGTAGGTGGCGACAAGCCTGCCAGGATGTCCAACAAGCGAAAGACGACTTCCGATGGGACAAGAGAGCCTCCGAAAACCAGCAGGCGTGGCGTAGCATACATTACTTCGAATGAGTTTGATCATACCACCACTAGTTCCAGGCTCGAATGCAAAGACAACAAGGATCAAGTGCGTCAAACCTTGACACGTTTTGTGTCACATATTGCACAACACCCTCTTGTCCAATCAGCCAGCCCTTGCGATCGCAATTCGACGCTCCGGGAGCTTCGCGTCTACCTGCACGCCCACGTCACTCAGTCAGAAGACAACGCCAGTCTCATCCAGGCTCGGGGCTCGTCATGGCAGCCAAGAATGGGGACGGCCGGCTTCACACGGACGTTGGGCAGCGACAGCTATTTCCGCTGGGTTCACACCGTCTCGAGCGACCACACCGCCTGCCCGTACTCGTTTGCCTTTGCTGGCTGTTTGCTGAGCGCGCAGCTCGGTGGTGTCGAGAGCTTCCCGTCAACGCGTGCCAAGTACCTGGCGACGGCGGCATGCCAACATCTTGCTACCATGTGCCGCATGTACAATGACTACGGATCTGTTGCTCGCGATGAGGCCGAGTGTAACCTGAACTCGGTTGACTTTCCCGAATTTGCCAACGACTCTGGGGCGGACTTGGAGTCCAGGAAGAAGACGCTATATGAGCTCGCACAGTACGAGCGAGACTGGTTTGAAGATGCCATGAGTCGTCTCGGGACCGAGATGCGGCATGTGGGAAGGAGCCGTCAGTTGGAAGTGTGGTCGATGTTTTGTGACGTGACGGATCTTTACGGCCAAATCTACGTGGTCAAGGACATTGCTAGTCGCATGGTCAATGGCGGAGGGACGCGGAAGTCGTAGCAATGAGGTATTTTGTGAAAATCTGTTGATTTGAAGAGAAAAGCGGCCTATCTATCCTCAAAAACTTAAAATAGAGAAGTACGGGACGTCTGGTCACGGTTCATGACAGACACGAGCATAGCTATACACATGGGAATGTCCGAGAGGTTTTGTTCCCCTCCGTTGGGCAGCATCATGAACAGCCCCAGCATCATCCTCATGCGATGACACAGTTCTTGGGAAGCCGGTCTAAGAGATGTTGTACCATAATTGTCTGCATCTGCCATCTATTTGACGCTGCCATGACACTCAGCCTCTCCAGCAGCGCCTTGAGCCGCAAAGCTCGGAAGTTCAACAGGCTTTTCAAAACGTGCACCTTCTCCTCCTCGTTCATTTTCCACTGGTCAACCGGGAGACCGCGGTCCGCCCCAGAAGCGAAAATTGGCAGATGATGAGGCCTGCCAGGTGACACAGGAGAGGCCAATGCCGCATCATCATCAGACTCATCACGTTTGCTTTTACCGTTCCCAGACGTCTCGGCCATGGACATGATATTCGCAAGTAATCTGTCTAATAGGGATATTATCAACACGGCGTGCTGGGACCGGATGTGGGATGCATCCCGATCAAGCCACGTCTCGCAACTTCTCAGCACTTCCTGCTGGCACATGAACTCGTCACTAGTTGTCAGCAAGGGGGGCGAAGTCGGGCCCATTAGGGGCCCAGAAGGGTTGACGACGCTGCTGGTACGTTGCGCCCATACCAAGCCCACCTCGACAGTTTCATAGACCTCAAGCATCTCCGAGCAGAGACAGCTGGTGCGGTCCTGTACGTCCTGGCTCCGCCTCGAGATGGGGCTCGCAGGGACCGCCTTGTCGTCGCTGTCGGGCGCATGAGCTCGGCCCGATGCTGGGTTCTGGTCGGCGGCCATGGAAGCACCGGTAGAAGAAGGACTTGTGTCACTTGCCTGGATATCGTCGAAGAATAGGCCGCCGGAGCCGTCATACGCTGAGTGCGCATCATATGCAATGTCCGGCTGGCCTAGACCGAAATCTATATCCAGCAGGCTCGAGTCAGCCATGATGGCATCCCGGCCCAGACCGGCCTCGATATTCAAGGACTTTTCGGACCCGCTCTGCGGAGAGGCGGTGACATCTTTCGAGCGCAGGCCTCCGTCGCCAGCATCTTCGGCCCCCTTGGGAGGACGTGGAAGTCGCCGTGGCGTCGCGACTGTCCTTGAACGGTCATGGCTAGTGTATGAGCAGACTATCTGCTTATTCAAACATCGCCTGCATCCTTGTTTTTCCCCGGTGCATTTGACCTATGGCTTCTGGTTAAAACAGTTCTTCTTACGCATGTCGCCGCCTCAACCTCGGTGCCAGTGGTGCCAACCTTTTTCGACCTGCAGTAGACGCAGGCAAGCCGAGAGATGGCATTGATTGGTCTGTTGAACGGGGAGGCGGTGGACTGGAGAACAACCTGGCCCTGGCCTGGACCTGATTGAAGCTGCCGAAACGTGCTGAACATGAGGGCGCGATTGCTGGGCTGGCTGTCCAAGAGGTCGTTTTCGGCGGCAAGCAGATGACACGCGATCAATTGTCGCTCGTGATACGGCGCTGGGCTTGAAACACATGCACCCAGTGCAAGAATCACAACTGCTGCCTCGATCGAGGTTATTAGCCCTCATATCTATGTCGTTCTGCATTGCTACGCTCTGCATATCTTTCACCGGATCCATCCCGGCCCTGCTTACGTACCGCAACCTTACAGAGTACCCACCGCAAGGATTATCATTCTTGGTCGGCAAGCACTACTTAGTACGGAGTGATGCTCCAGAGTCCCGAATCGTCTTGACGCGACCCTGCCCTCGTTGTCCAATGTGGACTAGTGCTCCAGCCCCGAGTTGACTCCTGGAAGTCGGGAGTCGGGACCGTAATATACAGAACGGGGTCCGGATGGGACATGTGTCTGTTTTGAACCGCCCGCATAATGAGGCTGATGGCGCGACGTTTTACGTGTCCGTTTCCAAGCAAATGCAAGTCAGTGGACAGAAGGTGACATTTGACCGTCGTGTCAGACTCTGATAGGCTGCCTCAGATGACCGGACGGCTTGCTGACTGCAGCTAGATGCGTCACTCGATCAGCTTGGTCATGGTTTTTTCCCTTAAATCCGCGAGACCTCCGAGCCAGCATTCCTTCCTTCATCGCCGTCACCAGTAGATTAGGAATAGCTCCGGGGCCATAAATCTCTGAAGTAGCACTTTGCCGTCAGGTTGGGGGCAGGACTACGCAGTCTAATCTGACCATCTGCGTGTTTTGTTCCATGGTTAGTAGGCCACAACAAAGGTCCGGTCCTTGGCCATAGGCGGTCACACAAAAGAGGTCACGACGCCCTGCCTGTCACACGGTTGGACCATGTCAGCCACCTAAGTCGGCCAACAAGAGGCCCTGTAGCGGCCTGAGCTCGCGCGCCCACAAAAAGGCAGTGTGTGAGGCATCGTAGATACCCCAGCATGTCGGGGTACACCGCTGATGTATATATAGAGAGGCCTTGGCACCAGAGTTCCTCAGGGTAAACCAAGAATATTCAACGCCCGAGAGCTGATTATTCGATTGAATATGAAATGACCCTATTCCAAAACCTGTTATTACTGTCCTTGTCACAGGCTGCTTCTTTGGATATATAAACCCATCCGGGGCCATGGCCATGGGCGCTTCAAGTCATCAGATTGATCCAAGGACTCTTGATAACCAAAGTCGCTGACTACTAGCCTTTTTACAGGTTCGTTCAGCTTGTGGGTTGCACAACAGACTACAGTGCCCATCCCCGCGCTGCTGGGGAAATTCTCTACTCGCTCGTGAAGTCGGTTTTCCCGGCGGTGCCGTAGTTAAATACCCTGGCAGATTTCAATCGAAAGGGAAATGATTCAGACTGTTGCGGAAAGTTTGACGAGTTGGGCAGCTAAGCTAGCCAATTCTCGGCTAGGCGATCACGCAAGGATACCAAGACAAAGGGATCCCAGTGGTTTTGTTCAGTTTGAGCCAAAATTGATGCCAATTTCCTGCATATAAATACATGCGAGGCCCATTTGCTGAAATAACCCTCAACAAAAAGCCATCAAACTTTACATGTGCATACACGCTCACAGCAGCCATGTTCCCTACAACACGCCAGTCCGTTGTAGACACTTGCATGCTTTTGGTTTCTGGTCGGGGCTGGGGCTAGAAATACAGCTCAAGCTCGGTTCAGAGCCTGCAAGCTCAATTCGGCATGTCGCGTTTGCTTGCTGCTCCCGATTCCATCGTGGAGTACGGATCATGAGCACCCCGGAAGTGGACAGCCGCCGTGGAGCCGAATCTTTCCAACTCGTAATCTTGATATGCAGATCCAGACGACTTGTTACTACGGGTGGAATTTCGCGTTGAGAAATTGCCAACAAGCCTGGTTCGGAAGGACCCGATGGAGCTGTACATCCTCGATGGTTCGATGTAGCCCTTCCAGAATCCCCTTGTCGCTGGGACGCAACCGACCATGAGCGCAATCGCGCATTCGACAAACCTATCATCCGATACTGAGTAATATGCGCAAGCACAGGCGGGGGTGGGAAGAAGACTCACTGCAGCAACATGGCTGTGAGCAGACTGCCGAAATCGCCGCGCGCTCCGCGGAACAAATGGACCTTGTACACCAGGGACAAGACAGACGCTAGAACACCACTTTGGCTCATTCCATCAGGCTGGCGTCAGCCGTGGCTCTGAAACGTGTATCAAGGCGTGTCAAGCGAGCAAGGGAACACGTACAAAATTCCTGAACAAAAGACAATGCCAAGTCCAAACTTTCTGCGCTTGGAGAGATTGAGTGATAATATCGGGCGCAAGGGAAGGACAAGGATACACAGGTCGGCTGCGACAGAAACGCTGCCCGCGATGACGCCGGCGTTGATGTTGGCTTTGCCGCAGCGTTTCCATTTATAAAGAAGGTAGGGCGTGTCGGATGGGCGACACTCAACAAGTGGAGGGATAAACGATGCTATGAATCCGGCGGCCGAGACCACGAGGACGGTGATACACGCATAGCGCATCGGTGTTTTGACACCGAAGAGTCGTATATAGACTAAGAGAACGGGCGCTTTCGAAACCCACAACGAGAAAGCAGCAACGATCGGGACCGCAAGGCCGGCCTACAAGAGCCGCGAGGTTAGCTTCACCTTTTGTGGCGGAACAAAGAAAGAGGGGGAAGCACACTTTTATCATATAAGCCAAATCTGCTGGCATGAAGAACCCTACATTGCCACGGCGATATTAGCAGGGCCAAGGGCCACGGAGAAATCTTGGTGTACTTAATTTTGTACTGGAAATCATTGAAGACGAAAAGGGCAACGAGCATAGCGAAGCCTAAAAAGGAGAGCCCTAGAAGGCGTTTCGTTAGCCATCGGCGGTGCGCGGGAGAAGCAAAGATGAAATGTAGTATTCACAGTCGTCCACCAAGAGTCCCTTGTATTGTCGGATAGATACATAACTGCGCGCAACAATGAGAGTCGCAGTCAGAATGATCATGAAGATTCCGACGCCCAAATAGGCACTGTTCGTGATGACGCCGATAGAAACCATGGTGAAGGGGTATACTGCTCGACTTCACAAAGCGCGGGGACAGAAGAGAAGCTTGGGGTGGAGCAAACCGGACGAGAAACGGAGATGGAGGAAGATGTGCACTAGATATTGTCCGGAGATGAGGGCGGCAGCGGCCGCGCCCGTCGGCTACGAGGACGTCTCAGGTAAAACCATGCTCCAGGCGCAATTTGGCGGCGGCGGCGGCGGGAAGGATTCCAAGAAAGTAATATCCCCAACTCCGAGCACGCAGGATTGCACTCACCCACACACGGGAGTTCCCAAGATGGAAAGGAGCCGGCTGATCAACTCATGTCACCCCAGCCCGCCTGTCATACTATGCTTCCGCCGCTGCCGGTGTCAGCATTCTTTCCGTAATCAATCGCTTCATTTTTGTTGCCACGAAAAGTACGGAGTAACTACATGTCAATCAAAGCCTACGCGCCTGTTTAATAATAGCTACCCAGGCACATTGTCTCTGGGTACCTAGATAGTCAAGGAGTCAGGACTCAGGAGTCAGGACTACGAGGGGAGGAGGACGAAACAGCGCTTGAGGGTAAAGGAAAATGAAGCTCGACGTCTTTCAAAGCTGGATGAGATTCAGCGCAAAATACGGAGTACGTCGTCGTGTATTTGCCACGTTTGGAAATGCACTGGGATATTCAAATTTCAAAATATGCTGATATTCACCGAGGGGCAAACATGAACATGGTCACGTGGTGCTGCGGCACCGCTGTTATCTTCTCGCCAAGCTTTGGTGCACCCCTTTCCATGGCGACTCTCCGACTCTATTGACCTCCAGATCTTCTATTTATGGATTTCCACATCACACCAATGCTCACGTTGATAGATAAAGCCTGCCTGCCCTCTCTCCTCTCCCGAGCAACCAGCGTGCGGCAGGCAGGTCGCCCTGGGTCGCCTGCACCGTGAAACGCTCAGACGTTCCATGACACGACCTCCGGATACATCGACAGCCGCACCACCCCCTCTTTTTTAAGGTTCGGCGTTGGCGGCTAGTCCCTGATCTTAATTCGTCATCATTGGCTGAATGCTGATTTGAGGCAAGAATTGGCGTCTAACCTTGGGATGAAATGGAGAGACGGAAAAAAAACGTACCCTAGGGTCCAGATAGGAAGCAAAAGAACTGGACTGGGTGGCGCGACAAGACTCTTGCGTCACTGTTACAGGACGACGCCGTCCAAAGGCGGGCCATAGCGGCCAGCCTTAGGAACGCAGGGCAGTCGGACTCGAAAAAAAATGGTTTGTGCTACTTGTTATTTGAGCTGTCATATCGAGCATACATAGAGCCTAGTCCTGCCACGGGAACTGCTTTCTTTCGCTGCATTGTCCAGGCTGCTTGGCTTTCCATACGGTATCAATTGATTGAACACAAACATACTACGACGTCGAGCCGATTCCAGCTAGCCAACATGTCGCCATCGAATGCTCGTGAGGACGAATACACCATTGTGCCTCTCACGTTGCTAGATGCGACACTTGGAAAGTGAGTCCAACTGCCAGAGAGAGATGGGCTACATGTGCAGGTGGCCGCATTACTGACATGTCCGTCTCTGGGCAGTGTCAATCTTTACGTAAGTGCTTCGCGACCTGTCAGGCCTTGATGTTTGTCCTGACTGGATCGAATAGCTGAGGGTGAGCATGATATTCGATGCCCAGCTATCGTTTGAGAAGCTGCGGTCGTCGTGGTTCGACATGATCCGGGCCCGACCAGTCATCGGCGCTCTGGTGCGGCGCTCTAAATCGTCTCCGTCCGCCCTCGCGTATCACATACCGACACCAGCAACGTTGGAGAGGTACATCGACGACCAGTTCACCGTCCCGGACCAGCACAAGGACTTTTTCTGCATGGACGAGTCTCATCGATCCATCAACGATTACTGCCCTGCTTTTGGAACGGGAGCGAGGGCGCCGACGCGGTCGACAGACGGCATTTTTGTTGCAGACGGCGCGGCACCCGAGGACAAGGCGCGCTGCACGGGCTTCAACGGGATAGCGTCCATCCAGGAACTCCTGGATTCGAACCGGCCCATTGTCACGACGCAGGTCACTCGCTTCAGAGACGCGACTGTCATTACGTGCTCCATGTCGCACATCTTCGGGGACTTGTTCAGCTTCAAGGCCATGTTCCAGGGATGGGAAAGCGCCCTGCACGGCGCGTCTCCGGCCCCCTTTGAGCAGCTGGGTGTCGATCCGTTCCGTGCCTACGGACCGGGTGGTGAGCTCGGCAGCCAAGGTGGTACAGAGCCCGTTCCGCCCCCGGGGTGGCGGGTGTACGGCTGGATGGACAAGGCTCGTTTCCTGCGCCGCTTCCTCTGGGATGTCTACGTTTCGCGACCGGAGAGAACCATCTCGTCAAAGCACATCTTCATCCCGGAATCACACCTGCGAGCCTTGGAGGACAGAGCCAAGCACGACCTGGTGACGGTGCAGGCAAAGCGACGCCGGCGTGGGCGCGCAGAGCAGGAGACGCCCCTCCGTGTAAGCCGATCCGACGTCTTGTACGCCTGGCTCCTCAAGAATAACCACGCGCACCTGGCGCCCGACCATTGGTGCTCGCCAGCCACCATTGCCAACGCTCGTGCAAAGCCGCCCGCTCCGCTGAGGGCGAGATCGTCCGATTTCCCGAGCCACGAGTGGTACGGCGCGGCCATGTGCGTCGGCCTGGGAAGTCTCAGGGCCGGAGACATCATGAAGATGCCGCTCGGGGAGCTGGCCCTGTACGTCCGCGAGGCCGTCAAGGAAAACTCGTCGCGCGAGAACGCAAAGAAGTGGATGGCGTTTCAGCTTCACCACAATCTCTGGAAGAAGCCGTCGGGCAGGTTTGTGTTTTGGTGTCCGCCCCATCATCATTGGTCCGGCCTGACCGACTGGCGCCTGGGGAAGTTGCCAGACGTGGATTTTACTCCCGCTCGCATCGACGGCGGTGGCGACGACAACCGTGGGCCCGTGACGGTGTGCGCCATCGACGGCTACATGATTAGCGGCAGTACACAACGAAACTGCTGGATCTGCTTGGGGGAAGCCGACGGTGGTGTTTGGATCATCGGCATTACGGGCCAAGGTGAGTGGACGCACCCCCAAGGGTTGGGAAGATATCGCCGACTGCGACACCGGCCGGCAAGCAAGCTCTAAGCAGCGGGACGCGCAAGGGCTGGATTTACTCGGAGAAATTCTGTTTGCATTACGAACTAGCCCTTGCAAGTGTATGTGCGTTATTGATACATGTTGGACTGCGTCTTGACGTAAATTTGGAGCAAGAAACCAAACACGCTATGTACGGCTACAAGTTGGCCGTGGGTTGCTCAACGATGGAACCCAGGTTGGATTTGACTGCGGCCATGAACGCCTCCATTCCCCGTGCGTCGTGGTATTTGCTGTCGAATCCCATGGAGAGCGTCACCCGATCCCAGAGGGAGAACATTCCCACCCAGGGAGAGTCGTTGACCTGTCGACCAGTGTGCACGAAATCGTGTGCCCGGATCCAAGCGTCGCCGTCACTGGAGCGGTATTCCTGCCTCAGCCCAAGGGCGCCCTGGGGCGAGAATCCCGGAGGGCAGGGCGCCGCCTGCGCATCCGCCTGGGCCGCGGCAGCCGCAAGAGCCGCCACGGCTCGTCGCGACGTGAAGGAGGCGGCGGACAGGTAATGCGGCGACGTGAGATGCGGCGCCAGCCGCGCTCGTATGGCTCGGCCGAGAGACAGAATCGTGTGGCGCGTAGAGCCGCCGAACCAGTGCTGCTCAAACGGAATCCAGAGGAAAACAACGTCGGCGGCGCTCGGGATGGAGCGACTCGTGTCGACCCATCGCTGCGCGCTGCGCGTCATGCCGATCAAGCCGCCGCTCTCGTGGCCCTTTTCATAGATTTGCTTGACGGCCAACAGGGTTGCGGCCGACGCGGCGTACGTGATGCTGAGGGATTCGCGACGCAGCTCCGAGAGCAGTGCCCTGGACTCGTCCAGGCTATATTGCAGCCGGATGCAGTGCGTTTCATGCGGACGCGAAGTAGTGTTGGCCTCGGGATACATGGCAACCGATTGCGGCAGCTGCGTTGCAAAATGTTGAGAAGGATGGACACGGTGAAAATCGTCAGGGGCGAAACTGGAGAGGCGTGATGCTATACCTTTGCAGCGTAGAGCTCAGCTTGAGCAACGGCTTCCTGTATTGCCCTTTCCTTTTCCTCGGGAGTCGGCCTGTACTGGGCCTCGTATGCCGTGACTGGGCTAATGGGCAGGCGTTCCAGGACTCTGGAATAGTTGATCTCGCCAACGGTCGCATCGACGTCGCCGGGAACCCGCATCACGTGCGACAATAGTTGGTTGAAGAGCTGCGGGATACTAGAGGCGTCGGCGAGCACATGGCTAAGGTTCCAGACGAGGCAGTGTCGATTCGCATCTTCTGGGTCTGCCCATGGCGCCGTCACCAGGTACAGCATGCTTCGCTTGCCCTTGGTTTGCAGACGGCGGCTGTAGGTCGAGCGAGCAACGTCATGGGCCGTCTGACCCGTGACTACGTGGAGTGTCTCTCGCAACCAGGCGTGGGCATCCTGCTCAGATCGCAGCGCCTCGTACTTCATCATCTGCGGGATTTCGGTGCCCGTCGAGAGCTGCCCTGCGATGTGGGGATGCGTCGAGTGGCAGACAAGCCAGGCATTGCGGACTCTCTGGATAAGCTCGCTGGTAGAGAAGCTACTGGAGAAGGGGACCTCGATGGTGAGCTCGGTATGGCCATCACCGACATTTTGGTTGTACGAGGCACTCTGCTCGCCGCCAATACACTCTCTTGTCCAGGAGGCATCGGACAGCGGGAGCCAGCCCGATGATGCGGCCATCGGTGAGGGTTAGGGCCGCCGAATGGAGGTGATTTTGGGGACAGAAGGGGCGAAGAGGGCAGAGGGGAGTAGCAGCTGGATGACGAGCTCAAGAGCAAGGGTGACATTTGAATGCCCTGACGGCATGACTTGAATGCTCCTCGGCTTAGAAGGACGTAGTAGTCCCGACCAAAAACGCAGGAACACACTACAAAAAGGGGCAGGGGAGTGACTCTAGCTAGCAACGAAAGGGAACCAGGAGCGCTACCAAGCAGATGGCGCTCGCCCGGGCAAGAGGACAGCATCGAGTCAGGATTGGAGCCGGCACAGCCAAGACGGATGCGTCTTGTAGTCGGTCACAGTCAGAGTGAGAATGGCAGTCCGAGACGGACGGGGCCGGGGACATTGGATGCAAATGGCGACGTGCCACTGGCCTCGGCCCAAGGTTGTTGGGCTGGGCAGGTCCCAGGACGGACTCGGGAGCAAGTTTCTCGCTACCCCGGCCCCGACCGCGTGCCGCCGAACGACGGCGCCGTTTTCTCATCGCGACCCGTTGGCGCTAGTCCAGTCGACACTTGATACGGAGCACTCCGTAGCCCGTACGCCGACGACACAGCCAGCCCGACGTCGCGGCCTGGTTGATAGCTTCACCCACAGCAAGTCGGTGCGGTGCCTGTGCGTTTTTGGGTTTTCTCATTTAGAGTTTGCATAGGAGCATCGTGTCGCTTCAGTGTCGGCAAGTCGCGAGCTCTGGCTGGCCTGGATGCGAGCATGATTTGTCTCGGGTGCGTGCTGCGAGATGAAATATAAAGTATGAATTTACAACGTGACTCGCATCCTTGGCCTCTCCTGCCCAAGATGCTGCAGTCTTATTCTCAGCAGCGGCCGAGTGCCATGGGCCAACCACCATCGCAGACAAGGTCGCCCGTCCGAGAGTGGCAGCCCACGGGCTCAGGTTCTCTGGCGCGGCGGCTCCGCGGCTCCGAGCTCCTGGTCAACTACTCGGAGCGCTTCAACGACGGCAATGTGAGTCGCAACGCGGCGGTGACCAAGGGCGCCGACGGGGTGTCAAAGCAGAGAGTCGACTCTGGCGTGGTGTCCCGTTGACTGACAAGACCATGGCGAGCAGTTCGAGTTGACCCTCTCGGCGTCTCTGCAAACGTCGTTGACGGGCACGCAGCTCAGAAACCGATGCCGAGCCGCCTGGTGGCAGACGCGCAAACGCCGTCCCGTGGTTGGCATCCAAGTCGGGCTCGGCCAGGCCGTGTTCGAGCCCATCGTCGAGGCATGTGACGCTGAGCGCTGGGCGACGCGGACCTGCACCGTGGCCGCCGACGCCAGCGTCGAGGCCGTCGCCCTCGATCGCGCGCGGCGGCCGCTGTCGGCGACGTCGATGACGCTCGTGCTGACGGATCCGTCGCGGGGCCGGGCAGGATGCGTGCTCAACATGTCGCACGTCCTCATCAACCACGAGGGCTACGCCATCATTGCCGACTTCCTCGCGCTGCTGGCGCACCCCCCGTGCGAGCGTGGCATCGCGGCCAGCTTCGAGGCGGAAGCCGTGGCCGCGACGCTGCCCAAGCTGCCGCAGAGTCTCAGCCAGGCCTACGGCCAGCTGGTGCCCGCGCCCACGGCCGAGGAGCTCCAGCACGCCATGGCCGTCTTTGAAGGCGCCCAGCAGCGTTGGGCGCGCCCCTCGGTTGGCATCCCCCTGCACCCCGACGCGGCCAGCCGCAGGAGCCGCGTCCACAACCGGCTCGTCACCTTTGAGCCCTCGCTCAGCCGCGCGGCCTTGCAGGCCTCGAGGCGCATGGGCGTCAGCATCACGGCGGCCTTCTTCGCCTGCATCACGCTGGCCATGGCGCGGCGGTACGGCACGGGCCGAGAGCAGGGCGCGCACCTGCTGTTCAGCGCAAACGCCGAGCGCTGGCTCGACGCGCGCCGTCGGAGCGGCCTGCAGCCAGTCACCATGACCATTGTGCCCGGCGGCCTGTGGCTTGACGCTACAGCGCTCCGCGTCGGGCCTGCCGCTGACGAGCCCGCGGGGGCCCTCGCCCGGCTGGCTAGCGCCATCGACAGCGCCCAGAGGGAGGATCTCGCGTCGCCCCACATCATCGCCGTCTACGATCAACTGGCTCCGGCCATGGCCGACGCCGTGGCCGACTCCTACAGGCTGGCCCTCCCCACCCTCCCACCCGTCGGTCGTCCGACCCTCACGTCCCAGGGGCGCTTTGACGGCTGCCTGCCCGCCGTCGGCGCCGCTGCCAGGGACGAGGTGCGAATGACGGATTTTAGAACCGGTGGCCGCAACACGGATCCCAACGTGTGCTTCGCCCTGTACAGCTTCCGCGATAAGCTGAGGTGCAACCTGCTCTTTGACGAGCGCTTCTTCGACCCCGATGAGGTTGCGCAGCTGGCGTCGGCCGTCACCGACCTGTTCCGCATCATGTCACTGTCGTGCACCAAACACGACGTCGTCTCGGCCAGGGTCTGACTCGACGAGCAAGCTGCAGTCAAAGGTCAATGTCTGTTTTTTTTTTTTTTTCAACTCATGCTTCAATACATAATGCCTCCAAGTAGCCGAAATTCAAAACCCACACAGGGTAAAGCAGACAATGTAGCAGTTGGACGCCGTGATGCCAGTAGCACCCATGCAAGGCTCGTGCAGCCATCTTCCATGCCATGTTCCAACATTTTCCTTGACGATGCGATGCGCTCCCAAGACTCAACAACCTACCGCGGCCCATTTTGGCTGCTCGAGAAGGTTCCCCTCGAAATCAACTTCCTCGTCCATGGTCTTGACGTCGCACGGCTCCGCCTTGGGCGTCAGAGGCAACGACACCGTCGATGAATCCGACAGGACGGCCGACTCTGCGTGTCCGAGGATGATCTTGGCCGCCGACACGGTGCCGCCGCCGATTTGGCTTCGCATCGCCCAGGCCTGACAGTTGACTTTGAAGTTTGGCCACTGCGGACCCAGGATGGCCAACACCCTGGCCTCCATCTCGTCTTGCTGGATGAGCGGAGGACGGGCGCTGCGCAAGCCGATGCCAAACTTTTCCGCGCACATGGCATACTCGTGCGTGTCCAGCCACTGGCTGAGTATCAGCTGCGGAACGCCAAAGTAGACGGCCTCGTTGAAGGAATTGCCGCCGCCGTGGTGCACAAACAGCTTCAGCGCACGGTGGGAGTAGACGGCGTGCTGGTCCTCAATCCAGCTCGTCAGCCGCACGTACGGCGGCAGCTCGCCGCTCGTGACGGAAAACAGATGGGGGTTGGCCTCCTTGACTGCCGGCGGCGGCGCGTTCATCTTGAACAGGAACCGTATGCGGCCCTGCCTCTTCCTGTAGATGGCCTCAAACGCCCCGATGCAGGCCCAAAACTCCTTCTTCTGCCAGATAAACATAGATCCCATGTTCATGTAGATGACGTCCTTGCCCAGAGCCAGCGCCTCGTCCATCCACTCCATTTCCGGGCAAGACGCGGCCTTGGTGACGTCGGCGCGGTTCGAGGCCACGCCCGCTCCCACAAAAACCAGCTTCGACGGCTGCTTGGGGCAGTCCAGCAGCCCGGGCGTGTTGAAGTGAATGCCCGCCACGCAGTTGTCGTCTTCCCAGTGCGGCGGGAGCAGCCATGTGTCGCCGGATGTGCCGTACGACCTCAAGCCGAAGCGCCTGAGGAGGATTCGCCGCTTGGCAATGCGAGCCTTGTTTGTGCGGCTGTAGATGAATTCATGAGTACGCAGATAAAGGTCTGTCCGAGACTTGTGTCAGCCCGTCGTGGCTCGGTTTGGTCTTGGCCCGTTGGTGCAGGGGAGTCGGGACTCACTTTCCAAGAACGTCTTCCATGAACCGTCTCTGTTTGCAGCCACGGGGTGCGGCGACAAGGCCCCGGACAGGGCCGTCATTCCAGGCGAACACGGTATCATGAGAATGAATTTCCGCCCGGTTAAGCGAATGCCCGTGATGAGCGTGGATGACAGGGCATCGACACAAACTACACACCGGCACCGATCAGCTCCGCCTCGCCTTTCCATGACCGAGGGAACAGGTCAAAGGGACTCGGGTGCACCTACCCATGTCTGGATCGAGCTCGTTCAAGTAGTCGCACACCTCGACGGCCATGGCGGCGTGCTTCTCTACCTCGTCGAGTGCTCCCTCCATGCAGGTCCGCAAACTAGTCGGGTCGCCTGGCGGCTTACGCATCGAAGATATGCGATTGTGGCAAAGCTCTGCGCTGTACATGACTTCCGGTGAGCCCCTGGCCAACGTCGACGGCATGGGATGCAACGGGGCCCAAGGAAGAATCGGGACTTACAAATCATCCACGGCTTGCCCAGAACCCAGGTTGATAAAGTGAACATTGTGCCGCAGCTGAGGAGCCAGCACGGATCGAAGCCAGTCAATTTTGCGGCTGCATGAGCCTCCCGACAGAAACGTCACTTCGTGTCCCTGCAAGACCAGTTCCTGAGCCGTAGCCAGTTGGATGTTCACCTCGCCTGACGCGGGGTTCGTGACAAAGGCGATGCGCATCGTCGTTTGCAGTAGAGCCTGTGGCTTTGGCCGAGCAAGTGAGGGGGGACAAAGGTACGGATGTGAAGTTTTATTATACGATCCAAGGTCTAGAGCAAAGTATCCGAGGGGCATTTTTACTGTTTGGACGGCCCTAGTCGACTTATCAGCCTTGCCTCTCGGCTTTTCACGATAGTACTACATGGGGCTTAGGAGGGGAATTGCTACACGGGCATGACACTTTGGCTACACGGGC